GATCCTCAGCTTATTCCTCCTCATTTAGACAGCTACAGCGGACAGGCACTCATCCAATACCCGAGGGGCTTCCTTGGAATTAGGTGGAAAGGAGTAGTAGAGTTGGGCGTCATCCGCGTAGAGATGGCACCTAACTCCAAAACACCAGATGACCTCTCGCAGCGGTTTCATGTAGATATTAAAAAGCATGGGAGGAATGGGATGCTTTGGAGGGTCTTATGGATACTCCTTCTTTGGAGGTCGTTTCAGCATCCATACTGTGGAATACAGGTAGTCCCCGAGTTACAAACACCCGACTTAGAAATGACTCCAAGTTAAGAACGCAACAGAGACAACAAGAAATGAGGCTGAATGGGGCTGGAATAGATGGCCCCTGGGGTTCCCCTCCAACTTAATGATTCTCAATGGTACGCATCTACATCATGGGATGTGGATGTTTGCAAATGTGAGAAGCCAGCCTGGCCCTATTTTAAGCATCCAGGGCAGAGAGGTGGGGTATGTATATATGTGTGTGTTCTTGCACTCACTGAACCTGTGACCGATCTCTGTTTTCATCCGTCCGCACTCAGCTCAAATTCCACCCAAGAGTCTTATATAAGCAAGGGTCCAGGAAAGATGCGGAGTGGTTTAGAGAAGCAAGAGAGAGATGCGGAAACCATTGCCACAGATTGCTTAGCATCTTCTAATCCAAATAAGACTTCGGATAGTATTTTCTATCAGGAATACTCTCCAAGCGGCTCCGATTGCAAGCTTGAAAAGCCGGGATCAAGTAAGGAATGTTTATCTTCTTTGCCGCTGGTGGGTTCAAAGGTTGAATTGGTATCAAAGTGCATTAATTCCACAGTGTAGATGCATCCTATAATTTTGTTGTAGGGAATGTAGGAGGCTGCTTGACACCACTTTGGGATCTGTTTTTTTTTTTGCAAAGTTTCACAATTAGCCTTATTTTGAAGGCTTGATGGGGAAACAGACCAATAATAATAATAATAATAATAATAATAATAATAATAATAATAATAATAATAGGGATGTTGTAGGTTTTGTCAGGCTATATGGCTATGTTCTAGAGGCATTTTCTCCTGACGTTTCGCCTGCATCTATGGCAAGCATCCTCTGAGGAAATCATCATTTCCAAGGTCAAGGAGTGACTTTATTCTCTATTCAGCTTCAAAGCCGGACTGCTTCTTGTCTGGGGAAATCCTTTGTTGGAAGGTGTTAGCTGGCTCTCATTGTTTCTTGTCTGGAATTCCTGTTTTATGAGTGTTGTTCTTTATTTGCTGTCCTGGTTTTGGAGATTTTGAAAATACTGGTAGCCAGATTTTGTTCATTTTCATGGTTTCCTCCTTTCTGTTGAAATTGTCCACATGCTTCTTGTGGATTTCAATGGCTTCTCTGTGTAGCCTGACATGGTGGTTGTGAGAGTGGTCCAGGATTTCTGTGTTCTCAGATAATATCCTGTGTCCAGGTTGGTTCCTCAGGTGCTCTGCTATGGCTGATTTCTCTGGTTGAGTGAGTCTGCAGTGCCTTTCATGTTCCTTGATGCATGTTTGGGCAATGCTGCTGCATTTGGTGGTCCCTACATAGATATTTCCACAGCTGCATGGTACATGGTAGACTCCTCTTGTCCTTTGCTGAATGTAACTGATGTCCCCCCAGGCGGCAGAATCTCCCGCCTTCAAGCTAGTCTGAACCGCAGCAGGGAGTTCCGCAGTTCCGGAAAGCCAAGTTGGGTCTGACTGATGGAATGTGCCCCAGCGAGCAGCTCAAGCTAAACTCAAGGCTGCAAGAAGCCTTTCTTTCACTTTCCCCTCTCCCTCTCTTTGTAACAAAGCCCCTAATAAAACACTTAAGATTTGAAACTTTAAATCCTTTCCGCTTGATACTTTGTGTCCTTTACTGACTGAAACTTTTCTAACATAAAATAAGCCTTTTTCTGAGCTCCGGGGAACCGTGAGCTCACCGGGGATGCCTTCCCGGCCTCCCCGGGCCCCCAAATCTGCGTTAGTTAAAACCGCGGATACGGAGGTTTTCCTAATGGGCCCCCTTATCCGCCAAAACAACAACATGGCGGATCGGCCCCGTTCAAATTTCATATTTTTCTACATTAAATTCTAAGACTAACTGCCATCTTGGTTTTTTCATTTTGGACTCCTGCACCCGGGAAATAATTGTTTTTGTTTAAATATTAAATCTGGCCGAGTCAACAGCTGATTGTCAAATTTTTGCCGGCTTTTCCGGACTGCTTCATCCCGCTCGCTGCCGCTTGCTCCTGCATGGCCCCCGCTGCCGGGGACCCACCGCCGTTGCCCAAGGGGGAGCCTTGGGAGAGGAGGGTCGGGCAGGGAGGCCCGATCCTCGGTTGGGAGCGCTAGTTTTACCAAGGACAGAGCAGTGGAACCCAGCTCCCCCTTCAGCTCCAGCTCCTGCTTCAAGGAAGAACCGATCTTCTGTTGGCCAGCCCGGGCCATGGGCTGGCCTCCACCTCCAAGCCCCTTCGCCCGGACTTTGGGATTTCCAGTTTTCCTTTTCTTTTTTATGAAATAAATAAAATATTTTCCTACTGTAATGAACTGGGGTTGGGATGGGTTGTAAAAATATGAAATGCCTGTAAATTAGTGATGCCTATGCCTTATGATTATGATATATGTAACCCTTATGAATTCCTCTGTATCCTCACCCCCCTTGACCTTCGCCCCACAAAACCGGCGTGACCAGGAACTGCCTGAGGAAAGAGCCCCAGCCTCTTCCTCAATCACCTATTGATTGACTCATCAGCATGGACAATGCTGCTGATCCCCAACCCTAGCCATCGGAGCAAGGCCAGCGAGGGAAGGGGGTCAGCAGAGCCCCGGAAAAAGAGACTGATTAATTCACCCAGATGTCGTTGACCCCCCGGGAGGCCCGATTTCGAACCAGCCCATTCAAAATCACTCGCCAGACCCATCAAGGGCAGGAAAGCTCTTTGTTTGCCAATTATCACCCTTTTCCCGCCCAAGACAAAGCCCGCATTCCAGCGGGCAGGAAATCCAAATCCCATCATCTTTCCCCTTTGTCTGCGGCCATCCCGCCTCCGTGCTCCTGATTGGTCCAAACTCAGAAGCGAGCAGAGGGCGCCCATTGGCCCTCCCGAGGCGCAGGAACGCTCTGATTGGCTGGAAGCAGAGGCGGGCTGCCAAGCCTCCTCCCAGCTGTTCCAGCCCCAGCCAATCAGTGTCAAGCCGGCCGGCAAGGGGTGGCAGGAGTTTCAAACTGCTTTCTTTTGTCCTGTACTGTATAAAAATGCCTGAAAACTTTGTATCAGCATGCTTGTAGAGGAACTATCCCTACAATTGCATCCGACTCAGCTGAATCGCAAATAAACCTCGATCGCTGGACTTCTTCTGCCTCTGGTGAGCTGATTATATTTTAAAATATTCCTGCGCTCTTGGATTGGCTTCCGGAAAATCTCACCAAGGTATCCAGGACTCTCTTTGGTGTAGTCCTAGGGCTCTCCCCCCTGGAGAGACCCCCCAAAAGAGCTCGATATCATTTGGCTTTACCACGAAGGGACCCTGCTTGAAGGCCCCGATTCAATTATAGCCCAAATTTTCAAGCAGGCGCCTTGGTCTGATTCTTTGGGCCAGAGCGAAGGAGGAGCGGCTTGGGAACAGAGGCGCCTCTCCTGATTTGGACCTTTATTTTACCAGCTGACCAAAACTACAAATTCTCCTGCAGCCACTTCCTTCCAAGCTCTGACCTGGAGTTTCAGCAAAAAGGAGCATAAGGGAAGCCTTGATCCAAGGACTTCCAGGAAGAAGCGCGACCGACGTGAACGGGGAAGACGTCTGAAGGGTNGCCAATTGCAACATTCACACTTGCCTCCAACAGACAAGAGTTCTTTCTCCCACCCTGGACATCATTCTACAGACAGATAAACCCCATTTGCCTAGTTTCCAACAGACCTAACAACCTCTGAGGGTGCCTTATAGATGTGGGTCAGTAGATAGTTTGTAGGTTGTGCTTCTTCATCAGCTTCCCTATACGGTCAACAAAGGATTCCCCCAGGCAAGAAGCAGCCAGGCTTTGCAGCTGCCAGGCTATTCAATACTAATCAAGGTGGCCAATTGCAACATTCACACTTGCCTCCAACTGACAAGAGTTCTTTCTCTCATCCTGGACATTATTCCACAGATATATAAACCCCACATGCTTAGTTTCCAACAGACCTCACAACCTCTGCCACAACCTCTGTTTGAAATGCAGTAGCTATGTGCCGAGTGTATTCCTGTGTGAAAAGAGTTAACTGAGCCATGGAGGGATTCCTAAAGAGGTCTTAAATCAAGTATATAGAACAAATGGATTCAGCGTCGTGCATCGTACATTATACGTCACTCTGGAATGCAGGAGGTGTGGACTAGTGCTGATAACAGACTGTTCATGTGTTCACGATGCTACAAACTGGACGGGAGGAAGCAAGTTTTACGATGTGCTTAGTGTTAAGTAGCTTCTAATGTATATAGCTGTAAATAAAGTAGTTTGTAGCCTAAGGTGGCTGTGATCGATCTGTTTCCTGCCTTGCTGTGCAGACAATGCCACTGACAGGCAAAATGTCAGGAGAGAATGCTTCTAAAACATGGCCATACAACTCGAAAAACCAACAACAACCCAGACAAAGAGTTCTTTCGCCCACCCTGGACATTCCAGAGATATATAAACTCCACTTGCCGAGTTTCCAACAGACCTCACAACCTCTGAGGATACCTGCCATAGATGTGGGTGAAACGTCAGGAGAGAATGCTTCTGGGACATGGCCAGGCAGCCCGGAAAACTCACAGCAACCCATTGATTTTGGCCATGAAAGCCTTCAACAACACAATGACACTACAGTATTCTCAATCAGAGGTCCTCTTTTTCAATAGGGATTGCAATTTTTCATGATTTCACACAAAACCAGGAAACTTTTCCCTGCAGATCTGGAGCTATACTCTACTGATAATGTATATTTTCTCCCTTCCCAGACGTATTGCCAGGATAAAGCTATTTCTTAACACAGCAGCCGCAGACTGAATGTAGCTCCGGCTGAGTCCCTTCAGTTCAGGAGACCAGGATGGTTGGCTTAAAACCCACGGAGATCCCTCCTTCGGCAGCAGTCAAGTTTCTCAGCGCTGGGACGGCGGCCTGCATCGCTGACCTCTGCACCTTCCCTTTGGACACGGCTAAAGTCCGGCTCCAGGTAAGGTTTATTATACAGCGGAAAAATGCAGAATTCCTGCTGCTTGAGACCACTTTATGTGCCAAAGCACCATGCTTGGAAACTTTCAGAGTAAGGATGTCCATTTGTCAGGGATGCTTTGATTGTGTACTGTCAAAGGCTTTCGTGTCTGGAATCACTGGGTTGTTGTAGGTTTTTTGGGCTGTATGGCCATGTTCTAGAAGTGGGTTGTTGTACGTTTTTTTCGGGCTATATGGCCATGGTCTAGAGGCATTCTCTCCTGACATTTCGCCTGCATCCACGGCAAGCATCCTCAGAGGTAGTGAGGTCTGTTGGTCATGTTCTAGAAGCATTCTCTCCTGATGTTTTGCCTGCATCTGTGGCAGGCATCGTCAGAGGTTTTGAGGTCTGTTGGAAACTAGGAAAATGGGATTTATATATCTGTGCAAAGTCCAGGGTGGGAGAAAGAACTCTTGTCTGTTGGAGACAAATGTTAATGTTTCAGTTGGCAACCTTTATTAGTATTTGATGGCCTTTCAGTTTTAGGGGTGCCTTGTTACTGCCTGGGGAAATTCTTTGTTGAGAGGTGATTAACTGTTCCTGATTATTTCTTGTCTGGAGTTCCCATGTGTTTGAGTTTTGTTCTTTATTTACTGTTATAATATTCCTAGTTTCCAACAGTTAGGGGCTCTTCCTGAGGCCTTACTTACTTAGGCGATCCCTCATTGTCCTCCAAGTGTGATGTTTTGGCGTTGGGTCTGTAGGTGACTGTGAAGCCCTATTCTTGACCTGCATCTTCTTCCGCAGTGAGGGCATTGGTTTCCAGGTGAGAGGCGGTCCCGGTCGGGGTTGGCTTGACGCGCCTTCCTCTTGGCACGTTTCTCTCTTTTGCCCTCCATTTGTGCCTCCTCGAATTCTGCAGCGCTGCTGGTCACAGCTGACCTCCAGCTGGATCGCTCAAGGGCCAGGGCTTCCCAGTTCTCAGTGCCTATGCCAGAGTTTCTGAGGTTGGCTTTGAGCCCATCTTAAAATCTCTTTTCCTGTCCACCAACATTCCATTTTCCGTTCTTGAGTTCGGAGTAGAGCAACTGCTTTGGGAGACGGTGGTCGGGCATCCAGACAATGTGGCCAGTCCAGCGGAGTTGATGGCAGAGGACCATCGCTTCAATGCTGGTGGTCTTTGCTTCTTCCAGCACGCTGATGTTTGTCCGCCTGTCTTCCCAAGAGATTTGCAAGATTTTTCAGAGGCAGCACTGATGGTATCATTCCAGGAGTCACTTATGACACCTGTAGACAGTCCATGTTTTGCAGGCATAGAGCAGGGTTGGGAGGACAATAGCTTTATAAACAAGCACCTTGGTCTCCCTACAGATGTCCTCAAACACTCTCTGCTTCATTTGGAAAAATGCTGCACTCGCAGAGCTCAGGCGGTGTTGTATTTCAGTGTCAATGTTGACTTTGGTGGAGAGGTGGCTGCCAAGGGAGCGGAAATGGTCCACATTTTCTAATGAAGCCATGAAGCTGTATTTCTGGCATTGGAGGGGGATTGGCTGCTGACTGCTGGAAGAGCACATTGGTTTTCTCGATGTTCAATGACAGGCCGAGCTTCTCGTATGCTTCTGCGAAGGTGTTTAGAGTGGCTGGTAGGTCTTCTTCTGAATGTGCACAGACGACGTTGCCAGGTCAGTTTAGAATCAAGTGGTTTGGAGTTACAGCTGAAGCTTGAGAGGCAAAATCTTATTCCAGAAAGCCTACCAAGGAAGTAAAAGTAACTGGACTTCAAAATATTAATAACCAGGGCTGTGGCGCAACTGTCTGAGTTTCAGCTGCATTAAGATCACTTCTGACCACAAGGTCATGAGTTCGAAGACAGCTCGGGTCAGAGTGAGCTTCCGACCAATTGTGTAGCTTGTTGTCAACCTTTGCAACCCGAAAGACAGCTGCATCTGTCAAGTAGGAAAATTAGGTACCACCTATGTGTGGGGAGGCTAATTTAACTAATTTACAAGGCCATAAAAAAGACTCCAGCAAAAGCATGCAGGGAATGCAGAAGTACTTCATCAGTGTCGCAGATGGACAATGAAAGCGACATCTCCTCTGGCGACCAGAAAAAGTTAAATAGCCTCTGACTGTCTGTCTATATGTGTTGTGTGTCTATGGCATTGAATGTTTGCCATATATGTGTACATTGTAATCCACCCTGAGTCCCCTGCGGGGTGAGAAGAGCGGAATATAAATACTGTAAATAAATAATACATAAATAAATATTTCAGATTATGTACTGTATTATATATTTGTGTATTGGTATGCAGTTTTCCTTAACTCTATGTTGTGGGAGGGGCAGCACACCATGTGATCAGATCTGGGACTATTCAGACTCAGACTCCATTGTAGAAACAATATGCTTTTAGAAGTCAGTAGGAACAGAAGATTATAAACAATCAATCAAACATATTGCAACTAGTTGGAGATGCGATTCTGTAAGCCCTAACATGCTTTCAAAGGGAACCAGTAAGGTCGACCAACTGGTTCACTGCACCAAGGAAATATTCAGACGTGACCTCCCAGAATATCGGAAGTAACAAATCATGCTATATGCTACAGCAGGATAATGTCCCTCCCATAAACACAAAAGTTTTTTTGCAGTTGAATCAACTCTTCCCATGTTTTTGTGATAGAACCAATTAGTAAATGACATTGATAACCCAGGGGCAAAAACCGTATTACGTAGTAGTGTAATCTCTATCTTCCTTGAAGATCCAAGGAGAATCCAAGTCCTCCAGAGCAGTCAAGAATGTCAAGTACAAGGGCGTCTTTGGCACCATCGCCACCATGGTCAAGATGGAAGGTCCCAGGAGCCTGTACAACGGCTTGGTGGCCGGCCTCCAGCGCCAGATGAGCTTCGCCTCCATCCGCATCGGGCTCTACGACTCCGTGAAGCAGTTCTACACCCCCAAGGGGTCCGACAGTAAGTCTGGGACAGCCTGGGCCCATAACCTATGGCTAGCATTGCATTCAGAACAAGAGGGAGCTTCCAAACAATGTCCTAATGCTTGAAAGTAAGGTCACCAGGTCACACCTGGGATTGGCAAGCTGGGATGTGTCCAGAGAAAGGCGACCAAAACGGTCAAAGGAATTGTAGCCCTATGAGGAGCTCTTTAGGGAGATGGGGATGTTTAGTTTGAAGAAGAAGGTTGAGAGAAGGAACATGAGAACTGTATTGGAATGATGTCTCCTATTTAATGGGATTTTGGCCTGCATCAATAGGAGCCTAGTGTCTAGGTCCAGGGAAGTCATGCTTCCCTTCTATTCTGCCTTGGTTAGACCACACCTGGAATATTGTGTCCAATTCTGGGCACCACAATTTATTTATTTATTTTATTTACTGTATTTGTATACCACCTTTCTCAGCCAATCGGCGACTCAAGGCAGTTTCCAACAAAACAGTACACATAATATCATAAAACAAGTTAAAACATTAAAACAGTGTAAAACAACAACAACAATAACATCATTAGTGTCTCCTTATTATCAAGCATTGTCCAGTTCCATCATCAGGTGATTCAATTTCCTATGTCGTTTACTCTGCATTTGTGAACACTTGTTCAAACAACCATGTTATAGGGTTGTTGTAGGTTTTTTCGGGCTATATGGTCATGGTCTAGGGGCATTTCTCCTGATGTTTCGCCTGCATCTATGGCAAGCATCCTCAGAGGTAGTGAGGTCTGTTGGAAGTAGGAAAAGGTAAGAGGTGTGGACTAGTGCTGATATCAGTTAGTGAGTTGTAGGTTTTCCGGGCTATATGACCATGTTCTAGAGGCATTCTCTCCTGACGTTTCACCTGCATCTATGGCAAGCATCCTCAGAGGTAGTGAGGTCTGTTGGAACTAGGAAAAAGGGTTTATATGTCTGTGGAATGACCAGAGTGGGACAAAGAACTCTTGTCTGCTGGAGCTAGGTGTGAATGTTCAAAGAGACCTCACAACCTCTGAGGATGCTTGCCACAGATGCAGGCGAAACGTCAGGAGAGAATGTCTTTAGACCATGGCCATATAGCCCGGAAAAAACCTACAACAACCCAGTGATTCCGGCCATGAAAGCCTTCGACAACCATTTTATAACTTGCCTCCGAAACGTTAGTAGGGAGGGAGCCAATCTGATCTCCCTAGGGAGGGCGTTCCATAGCCAAGAGGCCACCACTGAGAAGGCCCTGTCTCTCGTCACCGCCAGACGTACTTGTCAAAGTCAAAGGCGAGACCAAGAGCAGGAGCCTCCCCAGATGATCTCAGGGTCCTCAATAGTTCGTAAGAGGAGATACGTTCAAACAGGTAGGTTGGGCCAGAATGGTTTAGGGCTTTAAATGCCAAATTGAAGAGAGATGTTGACAAGCTGGAATGTGTCCAAAGGAGGGTGACTCAAATGATCAAGTGTCTGGAGAACAAGCCCTATGAGGAGTGGCTTGAGGAACTGGGCATGTTTAGCCTGAAGAAGAGAAGGCTGAGAGGAGACATGTTAGTCGTGTATAAATATGTGAGGGGAATATGTCATGGAGGGGAGGGAGCAAGCTTCCTTTCTGCTGCCCTGGACACTAGGATGCAGAACAATGGCTTCAAACTACAGGGAAGGAGATTCCATCTGAACATGAGGAAGAACTTCCTGACTGTGAGAGCTGTTCAGCAGTGGAACTCTCTGCCTCGGAGTGTGGTGGAGGCTCCTTCTTTGGAAGCTTTTAAACAGAGGCTGGATGGCCATCTGTCAGGGTTGATTTGAATGCAACATTCCTGCTTCTTGCAGAATGGGGTTGGACTGGATGGCCCAGGAGGTCTCTTCCAACTCTTTGATTCTATGATTCTATGAAGAGTCATTCTATGAACCCTCATCTGTCTGATAACAATGCAAGCCCTTCCAAATAATGGCCAGCCAGTGTCATTTAAAAGGCTCCAGAAAAAGAGACTCCATCAGACTCCCAGAAGTCTATCTGCTGGATGGACAGCTGTGACCATCAGGACGTTCTTCCCAATGTTTAGGTGGAATCTCTTTTCCTGCAGCTTGGATCCATTGCCCCGTGTTGTAGCCTCAAAACAAGATTGCCTTCTTCTCTATATGGTATCCTTTCAAATATCCAAGCATGCCTATCATGTCCCCTCTTCATCTCTCAGCTCCTCAGAGGGATTTCTGGTCTCCAGGCCTTTAACCATTTCACCCACCTTTCTTTAGACACATCCCAAGAAGTCCCAGGTCTCACCAGAGACCAGTACCAATATGCAGTATATCTAAATGTCTTTCTCTCTTTCCTACCCATTTCTCATTGCAGATGCCAGCATCCTCACCCGGTTGCTCGCTGGGTGCACCACTGGAGCCATGGCGGTCACATGCGCCCAGCCCACGGATGTGGTCAAAGTGCGCTTCCAGGCACACATCAGCCTCGCAGGGGGGCCCAAGAAGTACAACGGGACCGTGGATGCCTACCGGACGATCGCCAGGGAGGAAGGATTCAGAGGCCTCTGGAAAGGTAAACTACCTCCCTTCAGTCCCATCACTTTCCCTGGCATGTTTGCAGGAGGGGTGCAGGGGGAGGCCTCCTTGGTAGCTTTGCAACGCCTGCCTGTCATGATGTCAGGGCTCTGCCAGTATACAGGCAGAGGTGAACCAAACACACACCCAGTTTATATCAAACTGTTTGATATAAACTGGGTGTTTGTTTGGTTCAACTAGTCCAGCGGGAGGCAGCCAGACTGCTCACCGGGGCGTCATACAGGGAGCATACCACCCCCCTGTTATGTCAGCTCCACTGGCTGCCGATCCAGTTACGAGCACAATTCAAAGTGCTGGTTTTGACCTACAAAACCCTATACGGCTCCGGCCCAGTGTATCTGTCCGAATGCATATCTCTTTACGTCCCATCTTGGAGTCTGAGATTCTCTGGGAGGCCCTGCTCTCGACCCTGCCTCTGTCACAAGTGAGATTGGCGGGGACGAGGAGCAGGGCCTTCTCAGTGGTGGCCCCTCACCTATGGAATTCACTCCCCGGGAGATCAGATCAGCAACATCCCTCCTTTCATTCAGAAAGAAATTAAAGACGTGGATGTGGGACCAGGCATTTGGGCAATCTGGCAGATGAATAAGGGACTGTGACGATGGATAGGAATTGGACAAGGTGGAACGAAATATGAACTCTGAGTTGGCGAACGCTGTGTCTGAGATTGGCTATTGATTGTGTGATATATTGTTGTTTTAATTGTTTTAATTGTTGACCATTTAATTGCTGGTTTTATATGTTATTGTATTTGTGTAGGCACCAAGATGTGCCTTTTGTAAGCCGCCCTGAGTCCCCCCTCGGGGGTTGAGAAGGGCGGGGTATAAGTACACGAAATAAATAAATAAATAAAATTTAATTAAAGCAGCACTTACTTTCTGGCTGTTGTAATTGTTGGAAACAATAAACATTGACAAAATCACAATCTGTCCACTGCAAAAGGCCACCTGACTTGGATCTGCGCTCATCATTCGAAAATACATCACAGAGTCCTAGACGCTTGGGAAGTGTTCGACTTGTGATTTTGTGATATGAAATCCAGCAGAGAGATCTCGTTTGCTGTGACATACTGTGCATTTGTGTCAGTAAAATAATAGTAATAATAATAATAATAATAAGTTTAAACTCCAAAGATTAATGACATTATATAGAAACATAGACTATTGCTGTGAGTTTTCCGAGCTGTCTGGCCATGTTCCACAAGCATTCTCTCCTGATGTTTCACCCACATCTATGGCAGGCATCCTCAGAGGTTTTGAAGTAGACTATAGAGTTGGAAAAGAACACATGGGCCATCCAGTCCAACCCGCTGCCATGCAGGAAAAGCACAATGAAAGCAGCCCCAACAGATGGCCATCTAGCCTCTGTTTGAAAGTTTCTGAGGAGCTTCAAAGGTAGAAGGTTCCACTGTTGAAAAGCTCTTCTTTCCATCAGGAAGTTCTTCTTGGTGTTTAGATGGAATCCCCTTTCCTGTAATTTGAACCTTGTGTATATATGTGTGTGTGTATCTTGTATGTATAGATTATATGTTTTCTAGGAGCCAGCACAGTAGTTTGAGTGTTGAGCTTGCCACTGTTGAACAGTTCTTATTTTGGTTAAGAAGTTCTTCCTGATGTTCAGGTGGAATCCCCTTTCCTGTAATTTGAACCTTGTGTATATATATATGTGTGTGTGTGTAATTATATATATAATCTTTTATATATATATATAGATTATATGTATTCTGAGAGCTGGCATAGTGTAAGGCTATGATTCTGGAGATCACCCATGGAAGCCCATTGGGGGATCTTAGGCAAGTCACATTCTCTCAGCCTCAGAGAAAGGCAAAAGCAAACCTGCTCTGAACAAATCTTGTGACGAAAACCTCACTATAGAAATCTCCGTGTTGTAAACAACTTGATGGCACTCAACAACAACTATTACAAATCTGTGCTGATGTTCTCTGAGTTGCATTGGGTCTCCATGATGGCTATATATATATATATATATGAATAAAATAATAGAAACTGCCACAACCATCGCAATGAGGATGTTGATGGTGGAAGGAGGATTGTGCTGGTGCGGCTGTACTAGGAGCTCCAACTCTGTTTGCTTTGTTTTAAATGTTTGCTTGCAGTACAAGGTTTCAGGGCTCTGCAGATAAGTGGCTTCTTTTGGTTGCAGTCATAGGGCAAGTCACCTGTCCATTATCGTTAAGTTTTGGTTCCGCCCTTTGCGCAGGGCAATTGGGAAGGGAAGGGAGCCATTTTTAGTTAGTCTCAGCAAGGAAAACTAATGTACAGGACGTGTGCAAGCTTCCCCTGTACAAAAGCTTCAACCCTTAAGACTTTCCGGGGGGAAACAGTCTTAAGAGCATCAAAAGATCTCCAAAGATTTCCAGGGAAACATCCCCAAAGCTTTGAGGAATTTCGGAGGTGAACAGTTTGGAAGACCAAAGAACTCCAGCTGGAGAGTCTACTGGCCTTACTGGTAGGTCCACTCGGTGATCGAGACGCAGTTCGACCCAGTAGTGGAGCCCACATCAGTAAGGATTAGATTACAGCCAGCCTGGGAGAAGTTAAAAAGGGGTTTTTCCTTTAAAGTAAAGAATCAGTTATTGAAGACAGTTGCCTGTCCTTCGTGGACAAGATTAGGAAGCCACCAGTTGCATAAAAGCCTGGAATCATTTGTTTAACTTTACTGAAGACAAGAGAAGTTTCTGTTTGATTGTTCATTAATAAAGGACTTTGTTATACTTCACAAGCCATCTAAAGATCATTTGTGGTGGAAAACCTCTGAGAACTTCTCTTCGGGGGGCCCTGGCTTCCCGCTGGGCTCAAGTCACACGTACTATTTAAAGACAATTATTTACAGGCCCAGCACACGACAGAACAAGGATGATGATGATGATGATGACGTCTCCCTAATCTTGGTGGCAATCCCACAATTAATCCTTTTGCTTCTGATCCTTGTAGGAACATTGCCAAACATCACTCGTAATGCCATTGTCAACTGCGGGGAGATGGTAACCTACGACCTTATAAAGGAGACACTTCTCAAATACCATCTCATGACAGGTGAGAAGATCTCTGCATGGAGATGTTTCCTAGGGCGAGATGCCATCCAGATTTGACGTCCCCGAACCCTTAAATTCCATGTTTTCGTGTCTCCGACAGACAATTTTCCATGCCATTTTGTTGCTGCCTTCGGAGCCGGTTTCTGCGCGACGGTGGTGGCATCTCCCGTGGACGTGGTGAAAACGCGGTACATGAACTCCAAGCCGGGACAGTACAAGAACGCCCTGAATTGTACGCTGACCATGGTGATGAAAGAGGGACCCACAGCTTTTTACAAAGGGTGAGCAAGACTGAAAGGCCCGAACTTTGATAGTGTAACCACTAAGCAATACTACATGCTTTGAGTGTTGTGACTCTTTTCCTAATGTACCATCTAAAGCATGCATGTAAGATTGTCCTCCAAGATCGGTGTCCTGGCAGTGGGTACGCAGGAGACTGTGGAGCCCTATTCTTGACCTGCGTGTTCTCCCACAGTGAGGGCATTGGTTTCCAAGTGGAAGGCGGTCCCGGTTGGGGTTGGCTTGACGCGCCTTCCTCTTGGCACATTTCTCTCTTTCGCCCTCCATTCGTGTCTCTTCAAATTCTACAGCACTGCTGGTCACAGCTGACCTCCAACTAGAGCGCTCAAGAGCCAGGGCTTCCCAGTTCTCGGTGTCAATGCCACAATTTTTAAGATTGGCTTTGAGCCCATCTTTAAATCTCTTTTCCTGCCCACCACCATTCCAATTTCCATTCTTGAGTTGGGAGTAGAGTAACTTCTTTGGGAGACAGTGGTTGGGCATTCAGACAACGTGGCCAGTCCAGCGGAGTTGATGGCGGAGGACCATCGCTTCAATGCTGGTGGTCTTTGCTTCTTCCAGCACGCTGACATTTCCCCACCTGTCTTCCCAAGAGATTTGCAGGATTTTTCGGAGGCAGCGCTGATGACTCCCCTCAAGGAGAAGGACCAAGTTTGGTTCAATTCCATTGTTGGTGGACTTCAGCTATGCTCTCTGATTGTACGTGAATATAAATCCCAGTAACTACAACTCCTAAATGTCAAGGTCTATTTTCTGGTGTAGAGACTCATATAATAAAGTTATTATTATTATTATTGTTGTTGTTGTTGTTGTTGTTATTTGAAACACAACAAGATGAGTCCACAGCAAGACACTCTGCTGGCTGTTGTATTGGATCACACGTCGGACACTTCCCAAGTGTCTAGGACTGTGTGATGTATCGGCAAATAATGCGTGCAGATCCCAGTAAGGTGGCCTTCTGCAGCTGGCAGATGGTAATTTTGTCAGCGCTGATTGTGTTTAAGTGCAGGCCAAGGTCTTTAGGCACTGCACCCAGTGTGCCAATCACCACTGGGACCACCTTGATTGGCTTGTGCCAGAGTTTTTGCAGTTCGATCTTTAAATCCTTGTATCTTGTCAGCTTTTCCAGTTGATTTTCTTCTTAGAAGGCAGGATCATCAAGTTTGCAGACGACACCAAATTGGGAGGGATAGCCAATACTCCAGAGGAAAGGAGCAGAATTCAAAACGATCTTGACAGATTAGAGAGATGAAGGGCCAAAACTAACAAAATGAAGTTCAACAGGGACAAATGCAAGATACTCCACTTTGGCAGGAAAAACAAAATGCAAAGATACAGAATGGGGGACGATTCCTCGCTCAAGAGCAGTACGTGTAAAAAAGATCTTGGAGTCCTCGTGGACAACAAGTTAAACATGAGCCAACAATGTGATGTGGCGGCAAAAAAAGCCAATGGGATTTTGGCCTGCATCAAGAGGAGCATAGTGTCTAGATCTAAGGAAGTCATGCTACCCCTCTATTCTGCTTTGGTTAGACCACACCTGGAATATTGTGTCCAATTCTGGGCACCACAATTCAAGAGAGATATTGACAAGCTGGAATGTGTCCAGAGGAGGGCGACTAAAATGATCAAGGGTCTGGAGAACAAGCCCTATGAGGAGCGGCTTAAAGAGCTGAGCATGTTTAGCCTGAAGAAGAGAAGGCTGAGAGGAGACATGATAATCATGTATAAATATGTGAGAGGAAGCCACAGGGAGGAGGGAGCAAGCGACTGTTCTGCTTCCTTGGAGACTAGGACACGAAACAATGGCTTCAAACTACAAGAAGGAGATTCCATCTGAACATGAGGAAGAACTTCCTGACTGTGAGAGCCGTTCAGCAGTGGAACTCTCTGCGCCGGAGTGTGGTGGAGGCTCCTTCTTTGGAAGCTTTTAAACAGAGGCTGGATGGCCATCTGTCAGGGGTGCTTTGAATGCAATATTCCTGCTTCTTGGCAGAATGGTTGTTGGACTGGATGGCCCAAGAGGTCTCTTCCAACTCTTTGAGTCTATGATTCTATGATTCAATCCTGCTGTCACCTGGGATTGCGACATCAACGATCCATACTTTGTTTTTTAACATGATCGTGAGATCAGGACTATTTTGCTCCAAAACTCTGTCTGTCTGAATTTGGAAGTCCCAGAGTAGCTTGACGTGTTCATTTTCTGTAACTTTTTCCGGCTTGTGATCCCACCAGTTCTTTGTCGCAGGCAGATGGTGTTTGTGGCACAAGTTCCAATGAATCATCTGAGCAACGGTGTTGTGCCTCTGCTTGTAGTCTGTCTGCGCGATCTTCTTGCAGCAGCTGAGGATGGGATCTATTGTTTCATCTGCTTCCTTGCAGAGTCTGCATTTGGGATCTGTCATCGACCTTTCAATTCTGGCTTTGGTATTTGTGGCACAAGTTCCAATGAATCATCTGAGTAAGGGTGTTGTGCCTCTGCTTGTAGTCTGTCTGTATGATCTTCTTGCAGCAGCTAAGGATGGGATCTATTGTTTCATCTGCTTCCTTGCAGAGTCTGCATTTGGGATCTGTCATCGACCTTTCAATTCTGGCTTTGGTATTTGTGGCACAAGTTCCAATGAATCATCTGAGTAAGGGTGTTGTGCCGCTGCTTGTACTTTGTCTGTATGATCTTCTTGCAGCAGCTGAGGATGTCATCTATTGTTTCGTCTGCTTCCTTGCAGAGTCTGCATTTGGGATCTGTCATCGACCTTTCAATTCTGGCTTTGGTATTTGTGGCACAAGTTCCAATGAATCATCTGAGTAAGGGTGTTGTGCCTCTGCTTGTACTTTGTATGATCTTCTTGCAGCAGCTGAGGATGGGATCTATTGTTTCGTCTTCCTTGCAGAGAATAAACTTGGGATCTGTTGTCAACTTTTCGATTCTGGCTTTGATGGATTATTATTATTATTATTATTATTATTATTATTATTATTATTATTATTATGGTGGTTTCCATGTCAGAATCCACTCCAGGCGCTGTCCAGGTGCTGAACTCTGTGTTTTAATGGGATTCCTCCTTTGTTTTGTCTTCCTCCTCCTTCAGCTTCATCCCTTCATTCCTGAGACTGGGGTCGTGGAACGTGGTGATGTTTGTGTCCTTTGAGCAGCTGAAAAGGATGATGGTTCTGGCTCAGGTGGCCTGGGAATCCCCTTTCTGAGCACAGGCGTTGACTTTGGGGTGGCCGGATTTCTCCAAGGACTTCTCAAGGGGCGCAAAGAAGTGAAAATGCTTCGGATGGAAAGCCTTGAGGAACTGATCTTGCCATGGGAGCAAGAGGTGAAATGAATCAATTATATTAATTGCTTCGCCGCAGGCTTCAGGGTCCAATGATGTGTAATATTTGAGCTAAAAAGAGGAGACTGTCAAAAAAACAAACGAACTGGTAATAATAGCCAAAAAAAAAAAAGAGAGGTAAAGAAACTAAGATAAAGAATGAAGAGTTGCAGTTTATTTTGACTTTCAACCACATTCAGACTGAGCAGGCCAAAGGATTCCAATTGATGGGTAAGTGTGTGTGTGTGTGTGTGTTTATGTGTGTGTATGATATTGTAATGTAGTACAATATAATACTAACAATAATACAGTATAATAATATATAATATGAATATTGTGCTTGGCTAATCATATATATATAAAAATGCTCAGTGCATAATGAGTACCTTAAAAACAAAAGAACCAATGAATGAAATCACACCAAATAGGGCAACAAAACATCTCACAACACAAGGAATGACCATCACTCAAAAAATTATGATTTTGTCATTTGGGAGTTGTAGTTGCTGGGATTTATAGTTCACCTACAATCAAATAGCATTTTGAACTCCATCAACGATGGAATTGAACCAAACTTGGCACACAGAACTCCCTTGACCAACAGAAAATACTGGAAGGGTTTGGTGGGCATTGACCTTGAGTTTGGGAGTTGTAGTTCACATTTGGGAGTTGTAATTGCTGGGATTTATAGTTCACCTACAATCAAATAGCATTTTGAACTCCATCAACGATGGAATTGAACCAAACTTGGCACACAGAACTCCCTTGACCAACAGAAAATACTGGAAGGGTTTGGTGGGCATTGACCTTGAGTTTGGGAGTTGTAGTTCACATTTGGGAGTTGTAATTGCTGGGATTTATAGTTCACCTACAATCAAATAGCATTTTGAACTCCATCAACGATGGAATTGAACCAAACTTGGCACACAGAACTCCCTTGACCAACAGAAAATACTGGAAGGGTTTGGTGGGCATTGACCTTGAGTTTGGGAGTTGTAGTTCACCTACATCCAGAGAGCACTGTGGACTCAAACAGTGATGGATCTGGACCAAACTTGGCACAAGCACTCAATACGCCCAAATATGAACACAGATGGAGTTTGGGGGAAATAGACCTTGACATTTGGGAATTGTAGTACTGGGATTCACAGTTCACCTACAATCAAAGAGCTTTTTGAACCCCACGAATGACAGAATTGGGGCAAATTTCCCACACTTGAACCCCCATGACCAACAGAAAATACTTAAGGCCATCAAATCCAACTCCCTTCATCAGGGCAAGAAAACATAATCAAAGTTATCCTGACGAAGAGCCATCTTGCCATAGATATAGATAGGATATAGATAGATAAATAGATAGATAGATAGATAGATAGATAGATAGATAGATAGATAGATAGTTGTAGTTGCTGGGATTTATAGTTCACCTACAATCAAATAGCATGATAGAATTGAACCAACCGGGTCATACAGGACTCCCATGACCAACAGAAGGGTTTGGTGAGCATTGACCTTGAGTTTGGGATTTGTAGTTCACCTACATCCAGAGACTACCATGGACGCAAAGAATGATGGATCTGGACCAAACTTGGCATGAATATTCCATATGTCCAAATATGCACACAGATGGAGTTGGGGGAAATAGACCTTGACGTCTGGGATTTCCTGGGGTTTATAGTTCACCCACAATCAATGAGCATTCTGAACCCCACCAACGACAGAATTGGGGCAAACTTTCAACACAGGACCTCCATGACCAACAGAAAATAGGGCCATCCAGTCCAACTCCCTTCACCAGGGCAAGAAAACGTAAACAAAGCCCTCCTGACAAAGAACCATCCAGCCATAGATATAGATAGATATGATTCACACACACAGATATGGTATCATAGATTTGAAAGGGACCCCTAAAGAAGGACAATTATATGTTGTATGTTCCAGAGTAGGAAAACCAGACAATCTCCACATCAACACTGACAAGGAAACATCAAGAAACAGCAAGAAACAGCAAGCAGAAAGACATTACATATATTAGAAACCAACACTTTCTCATTACTTTATTTTCCAGATCAACAGACTAGGCCACAGCAACACCTGGCAGGGGACAGCTAGTAATATAATATATTGTATATACATATAATATTAATGATATTGTAATGTAATACAAAATAATACTGGCGATAATGCAATATAACATGAATATTGTGCTAGGCTAATAAGATAATATATTGTATAGACATATAATATTAATAATGTTGTAATACAATAGAATATATTACTAATAATAATACAATATAATAATATACAATACTACTATTGTGCTGTGCTAAAAATGTAATATTAATGATATTGTAAATCAATACAATATAATACCAATATTAATACTGTATAATAATATATAAAACTAATATTGTGCTATTGCTAATAATATAATATATTGTATGTACATATAATATTAATGATATTGTAATGTAATACAAAATAATACTAACAATAATACAATATAAAATGAATATTGTGCTAGTCTAATAATATAATATATTGTATATAGATATAATATTAATACTGTTGTAATACAATAGAATATATTACTAATAATAATACAATATAATAATATATCATTCTAATATTGTGCTATGCTAATAATATAATATTAATGATACTGTAATGCAATACAATATAATACCAATAATAATATTGTTTAATAATATATAATATTAATATTGTGCTATTGCTAATAATATACTATATTGTATATACATATAATATTATTGATATTGTAATTTAATACAAAGTAATACTAACAATAATACAATATAATACGAATATTGTGCTAGACTAATAATATAATATATTGTATATACATATAATATTTATAATGCTGTAATACAATAGAATATATTACTAATAATAATACAATATAATAATTATCATTCTAATATTGTGCTTGGCTAATAATATACTATATTGTATATACATATAATATTATTGATATTGTAATATAATACAAAATAATACTAATGATAATACAATATAATATGGATATTGTGCTAGGCTAATAATATAATATATTGTATATACATATAATATTAATAATGTTGTAATACAATAGAATATATTACTAATAATAATACAATATAATAATATACAATACTAATATAATGCTATGCTAATATTGTAATATTAATGATATTGTAATGCAACATAATATAATACCAATAATAATATTGTATAATAATATATAATATTAATATTGTGCTATGCTAATGATATAATATCTTGTAAATTCAATGCAATATATTTTCTTTCTCTTTGCTTAGAGGCAGTTTCCATGAAACACAAAGACAAATCTCTCTAGCAAACGAAGAAACCTTCGCTATAGAGAAAGACAGCAATAAGGACAGCAATTCCTCTTTCTCTCTCATCCAAGACCTTCAACAATAGCCCTGGGTTATTTTTTAGTATTGTTGTTCCATTTTCAATAAAGTTATTCTTTTCTATTTTGCAAGATGTCTCTTTGATATTAGAATGTGATGGTCTAGAACAGAGTCTAGGGGTGCATTTGCACTGTGGACTGAATGCACTGGAGTGCACTGGCACAGTAGAAATAATGGCATCTCCAGGGTTCAATGCTATGCAATACTGAAAGTTGTAGTTTTGCAAGGTCTTTAAGCCTTTTCTAGCAAAGTGGGCTGGTGCCTTACTAAAGTACGTCTCCCAGAACTCAAAGCTATTAAAGCGGGGTCAAACTGCATTATTTCCATCGTGTACATTGTGACGTAATGTAAAATAAACCACATGGAGTTCACGTTTGATCAGCCCACACACTGCCTTGCCAGGGAAAGAAAATACGCCTTGCCAGGGAAAGAAAATATGCCTTGCCAGAGAAAGAAAATATGCCTTGCTGGAGAAAGAAAATATTCCTTGCCAGAGAAAGAAAATATTCCTTGCCAAGTAAAGAAAATATGCCTTCCTGGGGAAAGAAAATATTCCTTGCCAGGGAAAGATAATATATCTTGCCAGAGAAAGATAATATGCCTTGCCAGAGAAAGAAAATATGCCTTTCCAGTGAAAGAAAATATGCCTTGTTGGAAAAAGGAAATATGCCTTGCCGGAGAAAGGAAATATGCCTTGCCGGGAAAAGGAAATATGCCTTGCCGGGGAAAGATAATATTCCTTGCTGAATAAAGAAAATATTCCTTGCTGGAGAAAGAAAATGTGCCTTGCCAGGGAAAGAAAATATGCCTTGCCAAGTAAAGAAAATATGCCTTGCCGGGGAAAGATAATATTCCTTGCCAGAGAAAGATAATATGCCTTGCCAGAGAAAGATAATATGCCTTGCCAGAGAAAGAAAATATGCCTTGTTGGAAAAAGGAAATATGCCTTGCCGAGAAAGGAAATATGCCTTGCCGGGGAAAGAAAATATGCCTTGCCAGAGAAAGATAATATGCCTTGCCCGGGAAAAAAATATGCCTTGCCCGGGAAAGAAAATATGCCTTGCCAGAGAAAGAAAATATGACTTGCTGGAGAAAGAAAGTATGCCTTGCTGGAGAAAGAAAATATGCCTTGCCAGAGAAAGAAAATATTCCTTGCCGGAAAAAGAAAATATGCCTTGCCAGAGAAAGAAAATATGCCTAGCCGGAGAAAGAAAATATGCCACGCAGGTAAACAATAAAGAACATGTAGTTTACTCTTCCTAATTCAGAACAACATATTTACAACCATGTGATCAGTTGCAGTGACTCAAATAATGCCCTTTTATGGAAGATTTGAAATGATTTTTTTCTTTTTCCGTGTGGATGAACTCCTTTAGCAGCTCATGAAGCAAGGGCACGCTTCAAACTCTGTTTCTCTCTGCTTCTCTCTCCAAGCACCTGCATAGCTTGAGACTGAACAAAAATGTAACAGCATCCAAAAGTCCCAGGCTCAGCCTGCTCCCCAGGCATAGCCTGATCAATCAGCTTTGTGTATCTTATTTTACAGTTGACACACAATAACTGATTTCTCACATGCTCCGACATACATGCATCCCAGGATAATGTCAGTCATCTCTGGGGAGCATCATGGGTTGCTGCATCGGTTTAGATATCTTCCAATAGCTCAAGAGAAAGCTGCAGGTTTGCTTTCT